CTCGGCCTCCCAAAGTGCTGGGATTACAGGCTTGAGCCACCGCGCCCGGCCGGAAAGTTTTAAATTTTTAAATGATCAGTTGGATTTCTGTTCTCAATTCTTCACTCATTACCTTTGCAATAAAAAGAGTACAATTCCCCCACTCTATTGATGTCGAACCTGACCATATGACTTGCTGTGACCAGTGGAATCTTAGCACATGTGAGGCAAGTAGAGGCTTTAAATTGCTTTTGTGATTTGATCTAACCTCTTGAACTTATGTTATCCACCCTTTAAAAGAACATGTTCAGGGTGGCCCTTGTCCAAGAAAGAAGAGATGGGGAACAGACCTGAATCAACCCAAATTCTGGAACCAAGTTCAGCTGACCTGTGGCCTGAGGGGGTATACCTCCACTGACCCAGGGACTCTGAAGTAAGAAAAATGAATACTTGTTGTTTATACCAGTACCATGCTGTTTTGGTGACTATGGACTTATAGTATAGTTTGAAGTCAGGTAATGTAATACCTCCAGATTTGTTCTTTTTGCTTAGTCTTACTTTGGCTGTGAGGGCTCTTTTTGGTTCCATATGAATTTTATATTTTTTTTTCTAGTTTTGTGAAGAATGATGGTATTTTGAAGGGAATTGCCTTGAATTTGTAGATTGCTTTTGGCCAGATGGTCATTTTCACAATATTAGTTCTACCCATCCATGAGCATGAGATGTGTTTTCATTTGTTTGTGTCATCTACGATTTCTTTCAGCAGTGTTGTGTAGTTTTCCTTGCAGAGGGCTTTCACCTCCTTGGTTAGGTATATTCCTAAGCATTTCACTTTTTTTGCAGCTATTATAAAAGGGGTTGAGTTCTCGATTTGATTCTCAGGTTGATTGCTCTTGGTGTATAGCAGAGCTTCTGTTTTGTGTACATTAATTTTGTATCCTCAAACTTTGCTGAATTCATTTGCCAGTTCTAGGAGTTTTGTGGACGAGTCTTTAGGAGTTTTTAGGTAGATATGATAAAATCATATCATCAGCAAACAGTGACAATTTGTCTTCCTTTTTATCAATTGGAATGGCCTTGATTTCTTTCACTTGTCTAATTGCTCTGGCTAGGACTTCCAGTACTGTGTTGAATAGAAGTGGTGAAAGGGGGCATCCTTGTCTTGTTCCAGTTCTCAGTGGGGATGCTTTCAGCTTTTCCCTGTTCTGTGTAATGTTAGCTGTAGGTTTCTCGTAGATGGGTCTTATTACCTTAAGTTATGTCTCTTCTATGCCGATTTTGCCAAGGGTGTTAATCATAAAGGATGCTGGATTTTGTCAAATGCTTTTTCTTCATCTATTGAGATGATCATGTGATTTTGGTTTTTAATCCTGTTTAAGTGGTGTATCGCATTTATTGACTTGTGGATGTTAAACGATCCCTGCATCACTGGCATGAAACCCAGTTGATCACGATGGATTATATTTTTGATATGCTGTTGGATTCAGTTAGCTAATATTTTGTTGAGAATTTTTCATCTATTTTTATCGGGAATATTCGTCTGTAGTTTTCTTTTTTGGTTATGTCCTTTCCCGGTTTGGGTAGTAGGGTGATTCCGGGTTCATAGAATGATTTAGGGAGGATTCCTTCCTTCTCCATCCTGTGGAATAGTGTCAATAGGATTGGTACCAATTCTTCTTTGAATGTCTGATAGAATTCAGCTGTGAATCTGTCTGACCCTAGACTTTTGTTTTGGCAATTTTATTTTTTATTTAATTTTAATTAATTAATTAATCTTTTTTCGAGACGTAGTTTCACTCTTGTCATCCAGGCTGGAGCGCAATGATGTGATCTTGGCTCACTGCAACCTCCACTTTCAGGTTCAAGTGATTCTCCTGCCTTAGCCTCTGAGCAGCTGGGATTACAGGTGCCCACCACCATGCCCAGCTAATTTTTGTATTTTCTAGTAGAGATGGGTTGGCAATTTTTAAATTATCGTTTCAATCTTGCTGCTTGTTATTGATCTGTTCAGAGATTCTATATCTTCCTGGTTTAATCTAGGATGGTTGTATATTTCCAAGAATTTAACCATCTTATCTAAATTTTCTAGTTTATATACATACAGTTGTTTATAGTAGCCTTGAATAATCCTTTGTATGTTTGTGGTATCAGTAGTAACATCTCTCATTTTGTTTCTTATTGAGCTAATTTGGATCTTCTCTCTTCTTGGTTTTCTCACTAATGGTCTATCAATTTTATTTATCTTTTCAAATAATCAGCTCTTTGTTTAATTTATCTTTTGTATCTTTTTGTTTCAATTTCATTTAGTTCTGCTCTGATGTGTGTTATTTCTCTTCTTCCACTGAGTTTGGGTTTAGATTGTTCTTGTTTCTTCACTTCCGTGAGGTATGACCTTAGGTTGTCTATTTTTGCTCTTTCAGACTTTTTGATGCAGGCATTTAATGCTATGAACTTTCCTCTTAACACTGCTTTTGCTGTATCCCAGAAGTTTTGATAAGTTGTGTCACTATTGTCATTCAATTCAAATAATTTTTAAATTTACGTCTTGATTTCATTGTTGACTCACTGATCATTCAGGAGCAGGTTATTTAATTTCCGTGTATTGGCATAGTTTTGAGGATTCCTGTTGGAGTTAGCCAATTTTATTTCACTGTGATCTGAGAGAGTACTTGATATATTTTTGATGTTCTTAAGTTTACTGAGACTTGTTTTGTGACCTACCATACAGTCTATATTGGAGAATGTTTCATGTGCTCATGAATAGAATGTGTATCCTGCCGTTGTTGGGTAGAATGTTCTGTAAATATCTATTAAGTCAATTTGTTGTAAGGTGAGGTTTAAGTCCATTTTTTCTTTGTTGACTTTCTGTCTTGATGACCTGTATAGTGCTGTCAGTGGAGTATTGCAATCCCCCAGTATTATGGTGTTGCTAACTATCTCATTTCTTAGATATAGTAGTAATTGTTTTATAAATTTGGGAACTCCAGGGTTAGGTGCATACATATTTAGGACTGTAATATCTTCTGGTTGGGCTAGTCCTTTTATCAATATATAATGTCCCTCTTTGTCTTTACGAGCTGCTGTTGCTTTAAAGTCTGTTTTGTGTGATATAAGAATAGCTACCCCTGTTTGCTTTGGTGTCTATTTGCATGAGATATCTTTTTCCAACCCTTTACCTTAAATTTATGTGAGTCCTTATGTATTAGGTGAGACTCCTGAAGACAGCAGAAACTGGTTGGTGAATTCCTATCCATTCCACCATATTGTATTTTTTTAAGGGCATTTAGGCCACTAACATTCAATGTTAGTATTGAGATGTGAGGTACTATTCTTTTCATCATGCTATTTGTTGCCTGAATGCCTTGGCTTTTTTTTTTTTTTTTCATTGTGTTATTGTTATATAAGTCCTGTGAGATTTATGCTTTAAGGAGGTTCTATTTTGGTGTATTTTGAGGATTTGTTTCAAGATTTAGAGTTTGTTTTAGTAGTTCTCGTAGTGCTGGCTTGGTAGTGACAAATTCTCTCAGCATATGTTTGTCTGGAAAAGACTGTATTTTTCCTTCATTTACGAAGCTTAGTTTTGCTGGATACAAAATTCTTGGCTGATACTTGTTTTGTTTAAAGAGGCGAGAAATAGGACCCTAAACCTTTCTAGCTGTAGGGTTTCTACTGAGAAATCTTCTTTTACTCTGATTTTCCATTATAGGTTACCTTTATAGGTTACCTGATGCTTTTGCCTCACAGCTCTTAAGATTCTTTCTTCATTTTGACTTTAGATAATCCGATGACTATGTGCCTAGGCAATGATCTTTTTGAAATGAATTTCTCAGGCGTTCTTTGAGATTCCTGTATTTGGAAGTCTAGATCTCTAGCGAGGCCAGGGAAGTTCTCTTCAATTATTCCCTCAAATATGTTTTCCAGACTTTTGGATTTCTCTTCTTCTCTGGGGACACAAATTATTCTTAGGTAGGATGCTTAACATAGTCCTAAAATTCTTGAAGCCTTTGTTCTTTTTTTAAAATTATTTTTTCTTTGTCTTTGATGAATTGGGCTAATTCAAAAGCCTTGTCTTCAAGCTCTGAAGTCCTTTCTTCTGCTTGTTCGATTCTATTGCTGAGTCTTTCCGGTGCATTTTGCATTTGTCTAAGCATGTCTTTTGTTTCGAGAAGTTGTGATTGTTTTCTATTTATGCTATTTATTTCACTGAATAATTTTCCTTTCATACCCTATATGATGCTTTTGATTTCTTTAAGTTGGAGTTAACTCTCTGGTGCCTCCTCAATTAGCTTAATAATTGATCTTCTAAATTTGTTTTCTGGCAATTCAGAAATTTCATCTTGGTTTGGATCCATTGCTGGTGAACTAGTGTGATCTTCTGGGGGTGTTGAAGAACCTTGTTTTGTCATATTAACAGAATTGTTTTTCTGGTTCCTTCTCATTTAGGTCAGCTATGTCAGAGGGAAGTTCTGGGATTCAAGTGCTGCTGTTCAGATACTGTAGTCCCACAGGGTGCTCCCTTGATGTGGTGTTCTCCTCCTTCCCCTAGGATGAGCTTCCTGAGAGCTGAATTGCAGTGATTGTTGTTTGCTCTTCTGGGTCTAGCCACTCAGTGGAGCTACTGGTCTCTGAGCTAGTACTGGAGTATCTGCAAAGAGTCCTGTGATGTGAGCCATCTTCAGGTCTTGCAGCAGTGATACCAGCACCCACTCTGGTGGAGGTAGCAGGGGAGTGGAGTGGATAGAATTCTGTGAGGGTCCCTGGTTGTATTTTTGTTTAGTGTGCTGGTTTTGTGTTGGTGGCCTCCAGCCACGAGGAGGTGCACTTTCAAGAGTGCCTCACCTGTGATACTATAGGAAGAAAACAAACTTGCCCTAGGGTCGGCCTTGGTTAAGTATCAAGTTTTCCAGGGTGGTGGGCAGGGCCATAGAGCTCCAAGAGATTAATGTCCTTTGTCTTCAGCAACCAAGGAAGGTAGAGAAACCACCAGTTGGGGGCAGGATAGTTGTGCCTGAGCTCAGTTTCTCCTTGGGCAGGGCTTGCTGCAGCTGCGTGAGGGATGGGAGTATGGTTCTCAGTCCAATGGAGTTATGTTCTCAGGGGACATTATGGCTGCCCTGCTGAGTCACACCAGGTCACCAGGAAGTTGGAGAAAGCTGGCAGTCACAGGCCTCGCCACGGCTTCCATGTATCCTGCAGTCCTAAAGCGTAGCCTCACTCTCACCATGCCCCCCCAACAGCGCTGAGTCTATTAGGGCAGCCAGTGACCAGGGCTGAGAACTTGCCACAGGCCACCAGCCTCCCCACTGAGAAAGCAAGACAACTCACCATTTTTCAGTGTTTCAAGGAAACTGCAGTGGTGATACAGTTCCTTTGAAGGGTCTGGTGGTATGCTTTCCTGGTATGTTGGTGTCATTCTTAGAGCAAAAGTTCACT